AGTCTCATTGACTTTCCTGTCCAGGCTGGATTTGAACCACAATCCTTAGATCTCAGCTCCCTGAGTAGCTTGGATTACAGGCGTGAGCCACTGCAGCCTGTCTATCCTTTTCATTTCGCTTTCCCCTCAAATGCTCCAAAGTTCACCAGTCCATGCTTGCTCTTGGTGGCCTCTCTTGACCTGTGTTTCTATGAAGCTGGTTAAAGATCTTCTATCACATGCCCAACACCACCAGTGCTTTAGATGTGGGATTTTCTTGACATTTGGAAGATTTGCATTTATGATGAGACAATTTGGGGGAGGCCCAAGTCCACATGAAGGTTGTTTCTGTTTCCTGGTCCCCTCACGCGCATAGCTTGAAGATGATCTTACATGGTATTCTTAGTAGGCCTGTAATTACTCTGTCACAGGAAGACAGGTGTGGCATTTTCCACTTGTGACTTCATGGTGGTACTCAGAAAGGTTTGGAGCTGGGAGCAGTCCTTCCTTCCTCCTTCCCCTCTCCTTGCCCCTCCCCCCATTACAGATGTCTCTAGTCTCCCCAGAAATGGGGTTTGCATTTTTGTGAGTGTTCCTTCTTGCTTTGGGGTGAATTCCAAGAGGAAGTCTTTGAGCTGGGATATTTTGACAGGACAACGCTACTTTTTTCTTAATCTTTGCCAAATAAAAATCTTGTTGCTGTGTTGTTGCTATGACATGTTTGGAAGTAACTTTTCAAGTAGATCTAAAGAATCCAGTCTTGCAAACTGCTTCTTACATTTAATCCTGTCATGCTCCTGTTGGGAGGACTTGGCCAAGTCCTCCCGGAATGCAGGGTCAGAGGAAGTGAACGGAAGGCACAGGCCACAGAGCCTGGGCGAGCATTTATACCCAGAAGACAGCACTGTACGCGGGCTTACCAGTTTAATGTCAGTCAGCAACCGTGGTTGTCCATTTATGACTTGCCTGCGTTCCTCTGCTGTTTCCTCGCATTCTTCGGATGCTTAACCCCAAACTTGGGGCTGGACTTATGTTTGAGTTAAACAGAGCTTTCCACATACCAGCAATAGTCCATATGCAAGTAAGAGAACAAGAAGAGAGCGTTGACAACAGCCTTTCTGGAGATCTCAACCCCAGAAGTAGGAATGATACAGGCATGGAGTCCCTGGAGAACTATAGAGGAGGAGGTGAAGGCACCGAATCCCAGCCGATCTCTAACTCTGTGAGATATTGGAGCAGTGGTGTTTCCTAAGTGATGCTTGCCTCTTCCCTTCCCTAGGGGAGGATGCATGTATTTAGACCATGGTGGTGCTGGTGTGGCAGTGGTGGTGGTGGTGGTGGTGGTGGTAGTGGTGGTGGTGATAGTGATGGCGGTGGTAGTGGTAGTGTGGTGTGGTGATGGTGGTAGTTGTAATGTGGTGTGGTGGTGATGGTGGTGGTAGTAGTATGGTGTGGTGGTGGTGTAGCAGTGGTAGTAGTGGTGGTAGTGGTGATGGTGGCGTAGTGGTAATGTGGTATGGTGGTGATGGTGGTGGTGTGGCAATGGTGGTAGTGGTAGTAGTGGTGGTGGTGGTGTGGTAGTGGTAGTGGTGGTAGTGGTAGTGGTGGTAGTGGTAATGTGGTGTGGTAGTAATGTGATGTGGTGATGGTGGTAGTGTGGCATTGGTGATGGTGGTAATGGTAATGTGGTGTGGTGGTGATGGTGGTGGTGTGGTAATGGTGGTAGTGGTAGTAGTGGTGGTGGTAGTGTGGTAGTGGTAGTGGTGGTAGTGGTAATGTGGTGTGGTGGTAATGTGATGTGGTGATGGTGGTAGTGTGGCATTGGTGATGGTGGTAGTGGTAATGTGGTGTGGTAGTGATGGTGGTGGTGTGGTAATGGTGGTAGTGGTAGTAGTGGTGGTGGTAGTGTGGTAGTGGTAATGTGGTGTGGTGGTAATGTGATGTGGTGATGGTGGTAGTGTGGCATTGGTGATGGTGGTAGTGGTAATGTTGGTGTGGTGGTGGTGGTGTGGTGGCAGTGTCACAGATGTCTGAGGAGTCTCAGTCTCTGGTGAGGTGGCCTCAGGCCACCATGTGTCTCTGATGTTGGGGGTTTACTGGAGAAGATGCTAGATGTTTCCATGAGGAAGTTACTAGAAAATTCTGGGGACCAGACTAGTTAAGACAAGGAATACAATGAGTTGGGTGAGAAAATCCTACCAATTGAGACTAAAAAAGGGGGCCTGAGAGCCTGGCTGGCGGCTCCTGAAGAGCGGAGGTGACGTTTCAGGGATGTGAGACAGTGCTTGAGTCCATACCTCACAGTAGCCCTGTGGTGTCCGTGGCTCTGTACCTCACGGTGGCCCCATGACGGCCCAGTGTCCCTATGGCGGTCCTTACATGGCTGTCTTTGTCTCTCAGTGCCTCTGGGTCCTTCTCCCTTCCTTCTGTCCTCTGATTTTTCCACGCATGCTCACCACTCGGTGTGCCTGTCGTTCTTAGCGTTCTCTACTTACCCCTGCTTAGTTTACTTGTATAAACGAGGCAGACCCTGAACCCTGAGCCCAGGTCCACCTCACCTCCCTGACCATGCCCCCCTTCCTCCCTGTCTGCCCTCACTTGAAGCTTTGTGGTCTTTCTGTACTCTCTTAAAACCAGCAATTTACAACACTGTCAATTTCAACAATTTCCACGCTGTCACCTCGCGCATGGATGGTTGCACGTGCTTTGAAGCTGGGCACCACCTCTCTCCTCTCTCCTTCCGTAGTGTGTATCCCCTTGAGCTTCACGCTTCTCCGTTGTGTTATTTTCCTGCTCATAGACTGTTAATGGCCAGGCAATAGGGCCCCTCTCACACACCCGGCCTGATTTCAGTCTGTGTTTGTTGTTAGTGTTGTTTAATTTTTTGTCAGCTGTGGGGTCTGAACTCAGAGCCTATGCGCTGTCCCTCAGCTCTTCAGTTCAAGGTGAGCGCTCTACCATTTTGAACCAGAGCTCCACTTCTAGTTTTCTAGTGGTTTATTGGAGATAAGAGTCTCATAGAATTTCTTACCCTGACTGGCTTTGAATTACGATCCTCAGATCTCAGCCTCCTGAGTAGCTAGGACTATAGGTACGAACCCTTAGCCCGGCTGAAATGTACTTTAACTTCCCCCTTTCCACTGGCCCTCATTTCTGTCTCGCACTGTGTCTGCTGCCCCACTGTGTAGCCTTGTCCCGCGCGGCCTTGACCTGCGTGCTTCCCTTTCAAACTGAGTTCAGTTCCTCCTCCTCCTCCTCCTTCTCCTCCTCCTCCTCCTCCTCTTCCTCCTCCATGATGGACACTTCTTCCCTTTTTATGCCCCCTTCTAACCTTGTCATCTCATGTGGACTGCTCATTCCTTAGTGCTCTGAGAACCCGCATTCTGCAGCAGTCTGGGGGACCTGCACTAGCTGATTAGTTAGTGTGGTCTTTAAGCAGCTGATATTGAGTTCCACTCTGAGCTGGGTATTGTGCCTCGGTTGGTGCTGTGGTACAAAGAATGTCCAGTACCGGGGCCTCCTGGTAAACAGCTGGGTGTGTGTGGACTTGGCCATCATGGGGTAGCTTTGAGGGAGCCATGAGCACAAAGGGGACAGCAGTGTCTGAGCTCTGGTCCCAGTGTGGATATGGTGTTCTAAATGTATTTAGCTAATAACAGGATTTGATGTCAAGGACTTGCACTTGGTTAGGGTGTTGTTCTACCATTTGAGCCATGCCTCTAGACATGCTTTTTGCTGGTTATTTTGGAGATGGTGTGGCCTCTTGGACTTTTCTGCACAGGCTGGCCTGAAACTGGAGTTCCTCTGGATCTCAACCTTCTGAGAAGAGAGGATTACTGGTGTGAGCCACCCAGTTCAGGATGTGGCATGTGAACTGAGGTTTTAGGCTGTGTTAGAAGCTTCTAGGTGAAGAGAAAGGACATGGTGAGCCAGGGAGCACCTTGCATGTGAAGATCTAGAGCCAGGTGCTGGGAGGAGAGGCAAAGGACCAGGAAGCACTGGGCAGCAGTGAGCGGAGAAGGTTGTTTTGGTGTTAGGAGCATTCTAGTATGTCCAGTGGGGTAGTGGGAAAGTAGACCCATTGGGGTGTGTGTGGATGGGAAGGGAGGGAAGAAATGGATTGGGACGTTATTGAAATAGAAACCAACGCTAGAAATGGAGAGGGAAGCCCTAGCTTTCATTGTCCACATCAGATTACAAGCTGGAGAGACGTAGCATGTGTTTATCTAGTTATCTCTATATGCTTAGTGTATGCCTGTGTTCCTACAAGGTAATTAATGGATGTTAATGATAGGGCCTAGGCACCATTTATCATCTTCCCACCAGACTCAGTCTTTGCCATCCTCCATGCAAAAGGTAGAGCCTAGCTTAGAATAATCAGAATACAGATGCAGAATAATCCCTGTGGAATACGTATGAACAATGACATGCCATGCCGTATGAACAATGACATGCCGACTGTGAAAGTGGACAAGGATAAAATATGCAGTATCATGCAAAGTTATGCAAATGAAGAAAAGGTGCAAAATGATTTGCATGCCCAAAGGTGACATTGTAAACATAGGAGCTGGAGGCTGCCATCTGCAATTGCCGTAGGGGGCAGGGGATGGGCGCTCGGCACTCTTACTTGGGTACTTTCCCAAAAGAAGGAAGAGCAGCAGGAGCTCCTCAGTGAGCCAGGGCTGGTGACTGATGCCTGTAATCTTAGTTACTTGGGAAGTGCAGAGTGGAGGGATTGTGGTTTGAGGGCAGCCTGTGCAAAAAGTTCGCCAGACCATTAGAAAACCTGGGAATGAAGGTTGGTGTGAATCTGCTGTCCCAGCCACACAGGAGTCAGCAATAGAAGAACTGTGGTCCAGCTGCCTGGACAAAAAGCCAGACCCTGTTTGAAGAAGCAAAAAAGGCTGGGTTGTGGCATAGCAATAATGTACTTGCCTATAAATCGTGAGGTCCTGAGTTCAAATCCCTGTACTGCCCAAAAAAAGTTCTGATGTATTTTTCTTTCTCACTGCTTCCTGCAGATTTTATATAAGCTACTTTCATCATGGGAGAAATAGAGCAGAAGCCTACTCCCGGATCACGGCTGGGGGCCCCTGAGAATTCGGGGATCAGCACCTTGGAACGTGGACAGAAGCCACCCCCAACACCGTCAGGGAAGCTCATGTCCATCAAAATCCAGATGCTGGATGACACCCAGGAGGCATTTGAAGTTCCGGTAAGTTGGGGTATGTCTGGGAGCCTCCCAGTCGTGGTCCTTCCAGGGGCCTGAGGTACTCATGGGGCCATGGGATCTGCACCGTCTTCCCTTCTCCCTGTCTTCCTCCCTCATCAAGTGACACTCACCTGTTCTGAATCAAGTCGGTCGTGTTTCAGAACTGTGAGTGAACTGCTGTGTAGCAACATGAATGGCCTCGCCGGGGGAATTTTAATAGGCTCTATTTACACTAATATATGGAATTAATGTTTGTGCTTTATAGGTAATATATATCATGTATGTATGGTCTGTGTTAGATATACATATATGTACCATCCATTAGGTTTGAATGGGAAGAAAGATTGATCGTCTGGCTGTGTGGTGAGTATGTGTGTCTGTCTGTCAAAGCCAGGGACAGACTCGCAAGCACACCTGTTCTTGGAGTGCAGACATTATTCCAATCACTGGCTAGCGTGACTGAAATTTAATAGCCGGCATTATATTCAATGATAGTAGAAACCCATCATTTAATCGTTTATGGGATATGATTCAGTAAATTATATTTATTTCAAAAGAACATTGTTGGGAGAGTGTGAATTACGTGTCTCGGGGAAGGATAAAGCTGAGGTTAGCTATGTGCGGAACCACAGATTTCTTGTGCATTACAGACAACTTTTGAGTGTTTCTAATTTCCTACTAAGGACCTGGGGATGCCTTTGTGTTCTAGTGAACGCAGCCACTACTAATTTCTGGAAGTGTAAAATCAGTGAGCAAAGCACTCTGCCTCCTTTGAGAATTGGGCCAACCAGAATACATGCCTCCCTCCCCGCTCTCTACCCCAAGTTTTCTCTGCCTTGTCAGACTGGTCCGGTGAGGTATGGAGTTTCTTGGTTTCTTATTAGGTCAGTCATTTTAGGGATCTGGAGCCTAGTCACTAGCAGCAAGCAGTGCATTTTATGTATTTACTTATTTTAATGCCTGTCCTGAGGCTTGAACTTTGGGCCCAGGCGCTGTCCTTGAGCTTCTTTTTCTCAAGGCCAGTGCTCTACCACCTAAATCACAGCTCCCCTTCTGGCTTTTTTGGTAGTTTATTAGAGATGAAAAGTCTCACAGACTTTCCTGCCTGGACTGGCTTCAAACCTGTATCCTCAGATTTCAGCCTCCTGAGTAGCTAGGATTACAGGTGTGAGCCACCAACAGACCTGCCTTATTTTGATATCCTCAGCATCCAATGTAGCACCTTGGTGGATGGCTGATGCTGATGTTTGCTGACTGAATGTGAAGAACAAATTTATTTAATAAATAGAACTTGGAATCACTTAGTTTTTAATGTCTCCTCCTCTTCATATTTTATTTTTACTTTTCTAATTTGGTCAGAATGTTCTGTCTCAACCCATGGGCAACAGATGTGTTCCTGGCTTACTGTCAAGCCAGATACCAGCATTTCCATGGATGGAGCTGTTTTTTAAATCGCTGCTGTGGGCTCTTTAAGAGGAGTCTGGCCATCCCACAGCTGGAAGCCATCAGGCGGTTGTGATCCAGTCATTGCTCAGGGTTGGAGGAGAGTGGCTGAGGATTGCAGAGACCCAGTTTCCTATAATTGCTGTAAAATCCTACCCCACAACTTTTTGCTGTGATTTCATCAAGGCCAAGTGTGTCTGACCCTGGAAACAATCTTCCCTCCCGTGCTGGAAGAGCCTCAAGTGAGCAGATACTCGAGTGCAGAAGAGGCTCTAGGGAACAGCTCTGGAATTAGTTCCCCTGGGTGGTATTCTCTGAGTGCTGCCTTTCTCGGGGGATTGGGCTCAGGGTCTTTTCCTACCCCTTTTGTTTTAATATATAGAGATGCAGGACTGGATCTCTGTGCAGATTCCTTCAACGCTTCCTGGAGCACACAAAAATAAATCACACTCCCTCCAGTTGTTTCCTTCATTATTTGAGGCCTTTAGAAACATTATTATGAAAGAGGTTAACCTTTGGAAATGCCAGGGCAGTGAGTGCCAGGCTTTTCTAACCGTAGCGAGTGCCACCCACAAGCACCTTTCCTGGGTGAACTGGGCCAGTCTTTATAGGTTGGAAAGTTTAAACGCCACATTTATATGGGTTTGTGTGGGGTGTTATCTTTATGAGGAAGAGCAGGTCCCAGGCATTGGGAAGGGTTAATAAACCCATCTCCTGCCAGGCTTCTTTGGCAGGTGTTCACCCCACTGAGGTCTTAGATGTCCGGGCCTCATGACCCTGTGGTAAACAAACACTGTTCCACTGATGTTTGTAGAAGCAAATGGCGTCCTCCCCCCCCCCCCCCCCCCCCCCCCTTAGCTGTGCCACTGGAGGGGAGCAGAGGACATAAAGCAGAGCCGGCCTGGTGACAATGCTTGTGGAGATGCTTTGGGTGACAGGAAGTTGCTTCATATCTGTGGCAGGGTTGGCACTGGAGGGTAGTGGCAAGCAGTGGAGAGGGCCAACACCATAGGCACCAGGCACTTAGCCTCAGCCACAGCGACAGCAGGACATTATCCCTGGCCATTTTCTGGCCTGGTGTCTTGTCACTAAGCTGTCAAAGCTTGGACAGCCGGTGTTCTCTGCCGGCGGGTTCAGAATGGATGTTTTAGTTCAGGAAGCCTGGCAGAGATCGGGAGTCTTTGCTGATGGCTGCTTAGACCCTGTGTGGTTTTCAACCATAGCCTCATGTTTTATCAGCTGGTGCTAGAAAATTCTCTGATGTGTTTGCCTGCATCATGCGGCAGGTGGAACGGGAGCGCCGAGGGGGAAGGTCGCTCCTGTTCTTGTCCTGGTGGAGGCCTGAGCTCCTGGCTGGCCACAGTGAGCTTCCAGTTTTCCTAGGCTCACAGGAGTTGTGTGAGGGGCCTGGTGCCTTCCACTGAAAGAGCATAACAGATGTGGGAATCTGCAGGAAGAACTTTCTCTCCTCCTCGGGTCTGCTTTCAGGTGAGGCTGGTGTCGGGACCCAGCCCACAGCCCTTCCAATGATGGCTCTGCACACGGACTCTCTCTCCCATGAGCTTCTTGGCCTCCCTAGCTTGCTTTTCTTCTAGTTCTTATCATCTTTCCTCTAATTAGCCTTGGGATCTTGTCTCCAGTCTGCCTCTCACTTATGATTTCCTTCTCCTCCCTCATATCCAGACTCGGTTTCCTTATCTGTAAAATGAGGTGTTTGGTCCACATGGTATTAAAAAGCTTTTTCCCCTCCCTCTCCCTTTCGGTTTTTTGGGAAGTTGGGATCCTATCTATGTTGGTGTCCTTGTCATGAATATACACATACTTATATCTATCTATATCTATCTATATATCTATATAGATAGATATAGATAGATATTATTCATATGTATATAAATAAAAAATATTTATTTATTTTGGTGCCAATTCTAGGGCTTTAACTAAGGCATAGGCACTGTCCCTGAGCTTTTTTGCTCAAGGCTAGCCCTCTGTCACTTGAGCTACAGCTCTACTTCTAGCTTTTTGGTAGCTAATTAGAGATGTGTGGATTTTATGGATCTTCCTGCCTAGGCTGTCTTTGAACCACAATCCTCAGGTCTCAGCTTCCTGAGAAGCTAGGGTTATAGGCATAAGCCACAAATACCCAGCATGAATACTTTTTTTTTTTGGGTCCAGTCTTGGGGCCTGAGCTCTGGGCCTGGGTGCTGTCCCTCAGCTCTTCAGCTCAAGGCTATCGCTCTACCACTTGAGACACAGCACCACTTCCGGCTTTTTTCTTTTTTCTTATGTGGTGCTGAGGAATCGAACCCAGGGCCTCATGCATGCAAGGCAAGCGCTCTACCACTGAGCCACCTTCCCAGCCTGCATAAATACTTTTTTATGATGGCCTTTGGGAATTCCCCAGGTACACTGTAAGCTCCTCAGGGAGTTACTAATCTGAAAAGAAAGGCCCCTAAAATCTAATCAGACACAGGAGTTACTGTGTACCTACTAAGCGCTGAACGAACTACCTGCCGAGGATGAGCAGGGTGTGATTTCTAGCACTGAGAGTGGCGGTGAAGTATCTGGGCTGTTTGAAGGAGTATTGGGTACTGCTCCCAGCTCGGCAACCAGGGATGAACTCCGAACCCTTTGATGGCAGGAGATAGAGGACAGAAGGAAACCAGATATTTTCTTAGTAACACACTATTAATGGAAGATTCGGGTTCGTGCAAGTCAGAGAGGACCTCTGAATGGTATAGAAAAACGATTAGTTGCCTTGTCACAAGAGACAGACCACATAGGAATTTTTCGCTGGCGGCAAAATTGCCTGTGCTCCCCAAGACCTAATTAGGAGTGTCGTAAAGTCAGGTCTTAAATGATTAAACACGAGTTTCATTTTATTACCTTTTGAAATGAAACCGGCCTTTCATTTCAGTTCTCCACTGAGCCTGGGTGGGACATGAGTGGAGGCTCGTCCCTCCCTGAACTAGACGGGGGTGGGGGGGGGGGTGGGGGGGTGGGCTTGGGGGGGGGGGTGGGGGTGGAAAGCTGGCATCCTGCCCCTGAGCTCAGCAAAAGGGATGAAGCAAAAGGTTTCTTCTCAAAAGCCCGTTTCTCTTCTTTATGTTTCTTTTTTTAGTTTTCTCCTGGGACTGCATGAGCTGATGGCTTCAAGCCTGGCTTATATTTACTTGGCAACCTTGTCATTATGAAAACTTTTGCTTTCCTCCATCTTTGGTTTAAAACATTAAAAAAAAATGAATCTGTGTGTGTGTGTCCATGCACACACATGTGCATGTGTGTGTGTTGTTACTGGGCTTGAACTCAGGGCGTGGGTGCTGTCCCTTAACTTTTTTTTTTTTTTTTTGCCAGTGCTGAGGCTTGAACTCAGGGCCTGGGCACTGTCTCTGAGCTTTTGCTCAACGGTAGCTCTACCACCTGAGCCACAGTGCAACTTCTGGCTTTTTCTGAGTAGTTCATTGGAGATACCAGTCTCATGGAGGTGTGTCTCCTTTAGAACACCTGTACTCTGTTAGAGTGTGCTGCCTCTGCCTTTCTACTTATCTGTTTGTCTGCTTTGC